CATGTTCAATACATAAATGTACTAGTGCAACTAATCAACCAAGACAAATTGTACAGTTGACACTACAACCGTTCTGATGGGGTGTTTATGTCCATCTAGGTTGTGAATGACTTATTCTTGTTTCGCGAGTAACTGATTGCATGATCTTCGGTTCGCCCGATGACGAACCACACTATCTAATGCAAAACAACAGAACATATAACTTGTTTAATCGAACATGTTTCTCATTCATAAAGGGTAAAAATATAATATAATCTAAAACCAAACTTTCAGTATATAACATTAACACACCGGTCATAGGTATTTCCAGCGTCGCAGTCAAGTCCTCATTTATGAAATTAAGGGTTGACCCACTATCGACCAATACATTGACTTTTCGCCCCAATATCTCCGTATTCTCGGGCCACGCTTCCCTTTAATCATGTGCATCGATTGAGCACCTCGGCCCTCGAGCAAGTGCTCCTCTCGCTCGTCCTCGTCGTCGTGATCAAACTTGAGAAAGTACACTTGTTTCCCCATTCACCGATGCCCGGGCATGAACTGTTCATTGCACGTAAAGCACAACCTTTTTTTCTCGTCGTCTTTGGATTTCTTCTGAAGTCAATCGTTGTATGTGGCTAGTCGTCTTTGTGCTGTCTGCGGTTGGTTTGTTTTCAGCCGGTGCGCTTCTTCCCCCGTGATCGCGCGTCGTGGCTTCGTGCGCCCGTCGCCGTGGTTGGCTTTGCGCACCGCGACCAGGTGGTCCTCGTGCATGCCAGCGGACTCCATTGCTGGCATCGACCGTAGCCTGTCGAGGCGTACCTCAGCCGTTAGCTCCGCCTTTAGTCCTCCAATGAATGCACCCACTAGTGCGCTCTAGGGCCAATCGCACACACGACTTGCAATGCGCTCGAATTCTTTTTGATAATCTCGAAAATTACCACTTTGACGTATACAAGATAGAGCTTCGTCATAGTCATAGTAGTCGCTTGAACCAAAACGTGTAATGCATTCTTTCTCAAAGTCCCTCCAACGTACGTATGCGCCTTTTTCTTGTAAACGTGCGAGATCCATTGCCACCATATGTTCACTTCTCTGTCTAAGTAGCAGGCTGCGATCTTGACCCTCTCGGTCTTGGGCATGTCATTGATGTCAAAATATTGCGAGTCTCGACTTAGCCACGCGTCCGGGTTGGTCCCCGTGAACGTAGGCATCGTGAGTCTTGGTTTCTCGAACCTTCTCTCTTCATGCCGATTCAACGCCCTTGAACCCCTCGACCTTCGACCCTCGCTTTCTCGGCCAGATTCAAGACTGCTCGATCTAACTGACGTCGAGCTCGACCTATGGCTCCCTCGAGGTCGTCGCGTGGCTCGTGCGAGTTGCGTGGCTAGGTCCTGCACCATGAGCTAGATCTTCGCCAATTTCTCGTTGGTGGTGTGTTGGCCGTCGCCGATGGATTTCATGCTCTCTTCCAACGCCTCGATCCTCTTTCTATGAGTATTTGGCATTTTTTTTAATCTCAAACTCACGAAAAGAAAAATTCAAAAGAGAAGAGAATGGAAAAAAGTCTCAACAAGATACACGATCGACCCTCTCAATAAAAGCACCAATGATGAAGATCGTGTATCCGCTTAACTCGAATTGCCTTGAAACCTGCGCCGACGCCTTGATTTCAAAGCGATAGGTTGCTACTACGCGCGCTGACGCCATCGTACTTCGCGATATTGTGAAGAAACTCGGATGTTGGTCCGATTTCTAACACGATCTTGTATGTAAACTCACATGAATAAACACACGAGACAAGTGAACAAAAGTTCGATTTCTATTAACTTCTTGGACATTAATTCAGATGACAATATGTAGTATTTATAGAGGCTAAATAGATCTAATCCTATACTTACTAGAACTAAAGCTCTTGGAAATAAAATAAACTTATAAGGTAACTAGATATCCTAAAATCTAAGACTTACCAAATAATTAAATAGTTAATTAGGCACATGCCTTTATTCCAAATCCTAACTAAACTAAAAGTCCTATTATGCTAAGGGAATCGGCCTTTGGCCATCTAGAAGGATCTTGTAGCGTCTTGTGCTGCACGCCATCTGGGAACCCTGGTCGCGTCATGCTAGTCCTCGTCCTCCGAGGCTTCGAGTTTTATCGCGTCCCACGCGTCACTCACGCCCTTCGCCGCGCGCTCGTTCGTCGCCGCTGACACGTGCTCGCCATGCTCGCGAATGGTTGGCACACTAGCCTCTGCTCGCTTTCTCGGTGCGTGCGCTCCATCCGTTGGTCGCGCCTTGCGCATTTCCTGAGCAGCTCGCTGCGCACTCGGCGTTGATCCATCGCGTCCTCTCGCGCGAACCTCCCGTCGTGCGGTTCCCGTCACGCGTTGCTGCCCTGCGCGCCTCCGGCTGATGCGTATTGCGCGATCATCTTGTGTGCGCCATTGCATGCGCGCCCTTATCCTATGTCCCTGTGGCCTGTCCTTTCTCGTCACGCGGCCCACGCGTATCGCACATCGACGCGTTTTGCGGATTCGACGTGCGCAGCCTTCACGAGCCTCTCTCGCACAAGCCCGATGTTTGTCCCATTTTTGTTGCGTTTTTCATTGTTGTTTTGTCATTCTTTTCCCCCCATTTTAGGTGTTTTTGTTGGTTTGTAGTTCGTTTTGTTGATTATGGTGTGTTTTCCTTTATTTTGGTTTCCTTTGTGTTTTTCGTGTGTTTTTCCCGTTTTCTTCTTGTTTTTGTGTGCAGGTCGGAGGCCCCATGAGGAATAGATTTAGTCCGGAAAACCATGGTTGTGTAGATGGGTTCGTTGGCTACACATAGGAAAAATCGGAACTCGATTTTGAGTTCGTATGAGTCCAGGCGGGCCCAAAACGCGAAGTCGCGTGAAGTCGCACGCGAATCACGCCTTTAGTGTGATGGTCAAGAGCTTTGTGAGAATTTCATTTCAATAATAATTTGTCCATTCAAGCTTCATTGAACAGAGGGGTTCATTAGCGACGCGTAGGAAAAAACGGAGCTCAATTCCGAGTTCGGACGAGCCCAAACGAGCCAAAAACGCAAAGTCGCGCTGCCCAGACACCTTAGCGGCGCTAAGGCACCTTAGCGGCGCTAAGGCTCACTTATCTAGCGGCGCTAGACCATGTTAGCGACCCCAGAGACTCGCAGCTAAGGCCCCCTGCAGGTCCCAAAATAGTATAAAAACTCCAAAAACTCGTTTTCTTCTCAATTCTTTCACTTCCAGCTTGAAGGGGGAGGAACCCTAGGTCCGAAAATCACCTCCCCCCTTCACTTTCCCTTCTTCTTCTTCTCTTCTCCTCTTCTCCATCTTTCTTCTTCTTTTTATCTTTATTTTCCATTTTTTTTCTCTTTCGTCTTCAGATTAAGCTTGTATTACGAATTCGACTTTGGACCTTGGATTGATTGTAAGCTTTTTTCTCTTGTTTAATTCATGAATAATGATTAAATTTGGAGAATTGATTTATTTTGTTGAATTCAATATGCGTAGCTAATTCGTATCGCTGGGGATAGGGGAAGGATTATTCTTGTTTAACGTGCATCTCTCGGGCTTGAAATTGTTCGTTCTTATGTGAGTTGTTTTGATTAGGGATTGATATAATCTTGCTTGATTGATTGATATAATCGAAGAGTGACACTTCGATCTTGCAATTGGTAACAATTGAATGTTGATTAGTCGAGTTAGGGTTTTGTTGATTCTATGCGATTAGTTGATTAAGCACCTTCTAGTTAATTAGCGACTTGTAGAACCGAAAGGGGAGAAGTCGTTGACCTAGGCTCACATGAGGTAGACGATGTCGTAATTGACTAATCTACGTGTTTTAGATTGAAATATGCACTTGTCGATGACCCGTCCCTTGTTACGAAAAGTTATTGGGATTGGGATAATTGGCCTGTGTTGTATGCTCGAACTTGTTCGTCTATGTTCAATCCCTTGTTACGAAGAGTTATTGGGAGCGAACCGCTGGATGTCTAAGCGAGAGTGTCAATCTCGAACCGAACAATGAATTGCCCGACTTTGCTAGAACTTGAATTAATTGTCCCCGATTCCCTAGCTTCTCCATCTTTATTTCGTTTATCTTCTTAGGTAGGTTATTGCTTTTTATTATTTCTTAGCTGATAATTATTCAAACCCCCTTATCTGATTAGTATGTTTAGGATTTTATTTGCTTTTATGTGTTATCAATATCAAAGCTAAATTCCGAACAACCTTCCTCGTGAGATCGACCCGGGGAACGAATCTTTAGATTCGGTACTCGGTAAAAAGAATAATTTGTACACAACACCCGACAGTCGTCCCGGCCCATTACGAGTCGTTGTTCCAGGCTCGAGTGTGGCCCGTCCTCGGGTTCGATAGGGTCGATGACCACATCTTCATCAACTGGTGAGGGTGCAATCCTTTTTCACATTGTCTTGTTGAGTTCGGATAAGATGAGATCGACTAAGAATGTTTTTCCTACTCAGAGAGATGTATATATATGCCTCGTAGTTGGGAAGAAGGTTGAATTGTTGGAGGATCGACATCTTCTTTCTTGATTGTGGTTTTCCTCATTGTTCGGACTCTGAAAATATTACGCGAACTCCACTGAAAATGACATAATAAATATTTTAGAAATATTTATTTTAAGTACAAAATTGAGTACAACAACTCTCAAAATAACAGTTTTAGTTTGTTTCGTGGACATGTACAATTATAGTTGACAATAATAGTTAGAATAATCACTGAGTCAAATATTAACCCTACATTTATTTACATCTCTAACGCATTAGGTCGTCACATATTCATTGCAAGTACAAGTAGTTTTTTTCATTCATAAAACATCCGTGTACAATTCGCCCGGTACAATTCGCCGTGACGTGCAATTTGCCGTTCGTGAATAAGTCATTAGATAAAGTAATAATTTCGTGATCTCGGTCATACACATCTTCTACTTTCGATTATTTGTACTGAAAAGGGGGTTTTTTCTAGGGTTTATACTCAACCTCGTATTTTCCATGGATAAATTCGATAGGCATAGAGGCGGGGATAGATACGGCAACGGCGGTGAAGAAACTCGCCATTATAATTTTAGCAGCAGTCAGTCTAGGGACGGCGGATCTCCGTTCCGCCGCCATCGGCAGGATGACTTTCGAGATGGCGGAGGAGGACGTAACAGTCCTCACAATAATCGAGGGTTCTCAGACGGCGGCGGTGGGAGGGAAAATCAGAGGGCCTTTGATAGTCCTCCGCAGACCTGCCTTCCGCCACTTGGTGTCGACGGAGGCGTCGGAGGAGGGGGTTTGAGGCTGATTGGTGCTGGAATTGGAGGGTTTCAGCCGATGATTGGTGGACCAATGGGTGGCGGTGCTGGAAGAGGGTTCGGACCAGTGGGAGAAGGCGGCAGGGAAGCATTTCGGCCGAAAGCTGGAGGCGATGAGTTTCCACGGCCGGGTGGCGGAAGCATTGATGGGGGAGGTTTTCAACCCATGGCTGGTCCTAGCAGTTATGGCAGAGGGTTTCGGCCCATGGGTGGTCCTGGCGGTGATGGTGGAGGGTTTCGGCCTATGGGTGGTCCTGGCTGTGATGGTGGAGGGTTCCGGCCTATGAGTGGCAATGATGGTGGGAGGTTTGATTTGGATGAGTACCACGGGCTGCCGATCCCTCTTACGGGCCAGAAGCGAGCGTATCCTTTTTCTGGAAGAGAAAGGTCTCCAGGTACCTTGATAAATTATATTAGTAGCTCTTAAAAGTTAGGGGTGTTTATTTATGTTTGCTTTGCTGTATTCTTCTGATGAGAAATAGCTGCTATTACTTTTTTTTTTTTGTCCTAGTTTACCTACAATATACAAGCATTGGAAGTGCTTTGATGTGGTTCACCTTACATTTTGGACACACGAATAAGTTATTCGAATAAAGTAAATTAAATTTGACATTAGATGGGTTTTCATGTAACCTCTTTTGGAACTTCCTAAGGTTTATTTAATTTCTCAGTCTAGATATTATTCTATAATATCATTGCAAGTATAATGAATTTTGAAGGACATATAAGCGGTGAATGGTGGTTTTTTGACACCACTTCATTATATATATGCTCTTCATTTGATGGTACCTTCTAATTATTGCTCATGTACACTGCCATTTATTTTCTGCTGTGTCACAGTCTTTTAGTTTTTACCCTTTTCAGGTAGAGAAGGAACCACTTTTGCCAAACTTTTTGTTGGATCTGTTCCTAGGACAGCCACTGAAAATGATGTAAGTTGGTTTTATTGATGAAATCTTTTCTCAACAATGTTTGAATTCAAACTATCAATGGTTTCCCAAGGATTTCTTTCGGCAGTGGATAATTCTACCAGTTAAAGATTCAGACTAAATTGTTTCGTATTCTCGCCAGTGTATTTTCTAGAGTGTTCTTACGAGAGGAAAGAAATTCCAGTTAATCGGATTTTTAGTTGATTTGACAATCATATCTTCTGTGTGGTATATCAACTATCAAGCTTGCGCACTGTTTCGTATCAACAAAAATGTCGAAGTTGCGCATTGTAACAATAGATACACATCCATAAATTTCATTTTATTCAATGCATTAGTAATCTGGTTAGGTGTGGCTGATTTCAGTTACTGTAATTTGATTGGCCTCATGGTTCTAGATTCAACCTCTCTTTGACAATCATGGACGTGTTTTGGAAGTTGCTCTGATCAAGGATAAGAGGACTGGACTACAACAAGGTATGTGGACATGCTTTGTCCTGAACAATTATGAATTATCTGTGAATCTCCTTTCAGGTCTGGGGGTCTGAAGGAAGCCACTATAGGCTTAGATCTCTTGTCAGTTTCCTTTACTTCTTTTCTGTACAAACTCCATCTTCCAAGAGGAAGAAGAGATCAGACATTAAAACAACCCATGTATAGTCATTAGGAAGTTTCATTTGTTTCTCTCTTAGCTAGGAACAGTCTGTGAGAATGTTTCCGTTGCTTTTCTTGAATTTTTGGGAGAAATCTGTTGTTGTATAACAAGGGAGACAACAATATTGCTCCTTTTATCAATTTCTTTCGTGTTCTTTTCTTCATTTGTTCTTCTTTCATTTTTTCTCATTAGTTATCTTATTTTTTCTTTTTGGATGGGTTTAATGACTTGATGCTTCGCAAGCTGTAAGCCTAGAGATGTAGTCGATCTCATTTTAATCGGTGAATCCACATGATGAGCTTGCAATTTTTTATTGTGCAAGAATGGCGCTATTAATGTTTCTTTTATATCCAGCAGTTGGCTCTTTTGGTTCATTTTGTGCGTATGCTGAATTTATGGAGAATTGTTTCCTGGGAAGTGCATAGACATGATTGTGAGCGTCATGGTGATGTATTTGTCATGGACTTAAATTCCTTTCTTGATGTTTGCATAACTTATGACCTACTGCTATGAGCTGTGGTGTAGTTGTTGTGGAATTTGTGCTGTTGCCTACTAACTTTGGTTGCTAATCAATAATTAGGATGATATGCTCGATCAATGGTGCGGATGGAAAATGGTGTTCAGTGTTTGTGTTGCTGAAGATATTAGTTTTGACTACTCTACATTCCGATTTGTGTTGAACTGACTACTAACTAGACAACTGATAAAGATTAGTTTGTTCATTCATGAAGTGTGATTGTTCTTCTTTTATGGCTTCTGTGATGATTGCTTTAGTTTATTGGTGAAGTTCCTCATCCATTCTTTAGTGACTTCATTGAGACTGGTATTCATTTCAATGCTACCTAGGTGTTATTTTGGTTTTTGCAGCTGTATGCATTGAGATCGATTAATTTGCTTCACACTTTGTATCGAATTTGATAGATGTATTTTGTGGATGGATTGGTTTTGGTAGATTGTGACGTTGGAGGACTATTATGACCTTTTTAGATCTCTTATGACATTTGGTTATTATTAGCATTTTCTACATCTGCCATCAGAACAGGTTTTGGTTTCTTTCAACTAATATTTTCTCTTACCTTTCTTTTGTCTTTACCCGACTGCAAAGCTGTGTGCACACATGATTGTTGCTGCAATTTGATGGTTAAGTTGATTGAATTGGTGTGAGCTCTGGTGGTGAAATGATATATTCTTTGCATTGTTAGAGGCGATTACTTCACTTAACTGCTAGCTTATATTACTTCACTTAAAGTGCTTATAGGAGGTTTGACCGTGGGATTGTGTGTGTGACTCTGTGGTGGAAGTGTTGAATGAAACATCGACTTACGATGTTTGGTGTTTGATCTTCTGTGGTTAGGCCGGCGATTCCACAGCAATCATATGCTCTATTCTCCAAGATGTTACATTGTTTTCATGATTGGTGACGAAACTAAAATAGTGCAACGTGTGGAATGATTTAGCCTCAAACGATGAGATCATTAGCGTGATAGAAACTCCTCCATTAGAGGGGTAGGATCTCATGGAACATGTTGAAGGAATTGTCATTCTACATTTCATTTTACCATATATCGATTTAGTGACGTGATGATGGTGAATGTTGGTGGTGGGAGTAGGTTGTGAAACCTAAAATTACTATCCTTTGTTTTTGTTTGTCAGTTTCAAGTGTGATTTGATAATAATATTGTTTTCTTATAGGGTGTTTATGATTGAGACATTTGCAGTTCTATGCGTGGCATATTTTATATATTGCATTCATAGTTCGTCCATCCTTTCCTGGATATAGTTTCCATTTTGGGGGGGGCAGATGCATTAATGGGTCCAGTAATTTATCATTGCTTTATGTTCCTGGCTTGTCATTTGGATCAGATAAGCACTTATCTATCGGTCTATCTACATTCAAGGAAATTGATCCTCTTATTGCAATAGCTGCTAGCAGGTTAATATCCGGCTCCTGCTGGCAGTCATTTAATTTTATGTTGCTGTTATTCAAGTATTGCCTTAAATGTGTCCTTGTCTGTTACCTCCTTCTGGAGCATAGGAACCTAATTTGGTGCATCTTAATTTGTTGGTTAATTTTTCTTCTCATTTACTATTTAAAGCAACTCAGTTGGTGAATGTGTTTTTACCAGATTATTGCTATGATTGTGCTTTTTGTCGTTTCTCTGGAGAATTTGTCTTTTTCGTTCAGTAGATTTTTGCTATGGCTTGTGCTCGTCAGAGTCCTTAAAATCCAGCTAATTAGAATTGTTTGGCCATCTTTGTTGCTCTTTTCGGCTTTGATAGTGTTGTGTTGGTTTTGTCAAGGAGTACAACGTTGACTCTATTGATTAATTTCAATTATTTCATTTTTGTTGGATTTATGGCTTTAATGTATTTATATTGCTATACAGTACTCGATGTGGCATATTTAGCAACTTGTCTTTTATTATAGCTACTGCCGTACTGGTTTGTGATTTACCCACTTATATAGAGCATCCTTGGACTATGAGAATGGGTTTCCCCCTAATGTCCATCTACAGGCATAAAAAGTTGAAAGATCCCATCTTAGTTTGAGTTTCCCCCTAATGTCTATCTACAGGCATAAAAAATTGAAAGCTCCCATATTAGTTTGGAATATCCATGAAACTATTTCATGTGTTATGACGATGATGGTGGTGATTGACTATTGATGCTAATTTACTTTTTAAAAGTTATTTGTCAGACTGTGACTAGCTACTTGGTAATGTGCCATGATGAGAGCTATATCTTGTGGTTGTCCTGTCTTTGACAGGTTCATTGTTTTGTGACAGACCTGGTGCATCGACTCATTTGCATCGACATCAAACTGATCACTAGACTTGATTGTGAATTAATATTAGTTTTCCTTTGCCCATTAATTACTCATCAACTTTTTGATGTTTTTGTATGTTAATTGTTTCTTCCTATAGCTGGTAGTGGTATCCATTGTTTCGTGATCAACTGGTTGAGCACGACGCGTGTCTCTTTAGATTGTTTTATTGTAGAATGTCGACGTTTCTGGCTAGGAATGATTGTAATGTTGGATGCTGAATGCATGTTATTTGTTTTCAGTGTGGATACTGGATGTCGTGTTATCTCCATCCAATTTTGTGTTTCTATGGTGATGTTGTTAAAGAATGTTGTCGTTTGGGGAAAAGGGGTTCGTTGTGTTGTATTGTTTTTTATGTGTATTGGTACAGTAAGGCATCTGGCAGCATAAACTAGTGTTTGGTTGGTAATTGAGGAAAGTTTTCGTGAGGGTGGCTTGTCTCAAAAGCGAATCAAAGAGTCTTATTAATTGTGCCTTTGTCTGTGACTGGAAGTTTTTTTTTT